CCAGACCAAGGCTCCAGGGAATTTGTAGCCCTACAAGTGGCTCTCTCAGAGGGCAGAGATGTCGTGTCAGCAGCTGAGATGCCTGAGCTCCATGTATTTGTAAAGGAAAGGACAAGCTGTGCTGGGCTGTGGTTGTAAGGTCAGGATCTGGGGGGAAAATGCCCAGCTTTGGAAATTCAGGCAAGCTCAGGGCCAGATTTCACCTGTGGGCTCTTGTGAAGGTGTGAGATCTCCCCAAAACACATCTTGGCTTTCAGTAAACAAAGGAGTGAGAGAGAACAGTGCATCCTTTATGATGGGAATTCAATACTAAAAGGCTCCCAGATCTGCAAATCCATTGCCTGGTGATCCCTGGAGTAGGAAAACTCTGACCCGAGCCCAAGCCTTTCACATTTTGCCAAGCCCGTTATTTATACCGATACACAGAGGCTGAGCCAGGCTAATCTGGGGGCTGCTGAGTCCCACTGCATCCATTCCACACAGCTTTTTACTCTGGATTTAAGTCTGGTGGAGCTGAGGTGGTAGCCGAGGGTGTTGGAAAACTCAGGGAGTGCTGCTGGATAACCAAAACCCGGCTGAGGAACCCCCAGGTCCAGCCCAGGCCCTCAGGCAGTGCCTGCAGCTCCAGCTGACGCTTTCATGGGGCTGTTGTCGGCCAGAAGTTCTAACCAAGGATAATTATGATGATGATCTCGCACTAATTGTACACTGATTGCTGTTCTAATTATGCCTAAGCATTTCATTGCTCTCCGCAATTTTGTCTATTGATGTAGCATTTCTCCCTAATTTCAATTACTCCCGCGGTATTCAGACTTTATTGGGGCACTGGAATTCAAGCGCTAATTTGGCAGCTTCCTTTCAAAGGGATTGAAGTTTTTATCTGGAAATGAAAGATGAGGTTTTTGTTTTCATTCCCAGCTGGAGATGAGAACACTGGGGGGGTTTGTCGGGGCTGGAGGTTTGTCTGTGGCTTCTCCCACATGGATTTTGGTGAGGTGACATCACCAGAGGGACACGATGGCACTCCAGAGGATGAGGAATCAGGTTTTTTTCGTGAAAAATGCAGGATATAATAAACTCAGGGAAATCAGCTGCTAGAGGAGGGCCGTGTTACTGTAACTGTTGACCAGCTCCCGGTTATTTTTGGAATTGGCGCTTTGCAAAGTCCCTATATTCCCATTTTCCAGGGGCACAGATCCCTGCCTCGCCCCAGGTCTCCTCCATCCCCAGGCTGGCGGCTTGTTTGGGCCCCACAGCCCCGCGAACAGCAACACGTGAGGTCGCAGGTGACCCTGACACTGGGATGTGACACCGGGATGTGACACCGGGATCGGACAGAGCTGGAATGGGCACTTTACACCTCGACAGTCCCCGAACCTGCCCCGGCTCCCCTGCTCCAGCAACGCTCTGACCTGTTCGAAACCACCCAGGGCTTAAAAAAACGCCATGAGAGCTTTAAAAACGCCATAAAAGCTTAAACACGCCCCAAGGGGGTTTTAAAGCGCCCGTCTCCATGGCAACCGCGGGGGCGGCACTTCCGGCGTCCCGCGCGGGGCACGGCGGGAGCGGCACGTGGGCACCGGCGGAAACGGACCGGGAACAGCGGGACCGGGAACGCCGGGAACGCCGGGAACGCCGGCCAGCACCGACACCCTGGAGCGCTGGGGCCGCCGGCGGGACCGCCAGCCCCGGCACCGGCTCCCGGCACCACCGGGCACCGCCCGCGCTGGCACCACCGGCCATCCCCGGGACCGACCCGCCGGCACCGCCGGGCACCGGGACCCACGGGACCCCTGGGACCTCCGGGACCCACGGGACCCCCGGGACCCCCGGCTCCGCAGCCTCCGCGACAGGTGAGCGGCCCCCGCGCGGGTCCGAACGTTGTGTTTCCAGCGCGGGTGAATCCGCGAAGGAGAATCCAGCGCCCCGGGTGCGCCGCGCCCCGTCCCGTCCCCTGGGGAGGGGGTGCCGGGGGTACCCGGGGCGCTCGCAGGGCGCGGCCGAGGCTCCGCTGACCTTCACAGACGCTCTGGTTCACTTCAGCAAACAGCGCTGATAAACGCCGTCCCGGTGCCGAGCGGGCCCGGGCAGAGGTTCTCCTGCCGTGCCTTTCTCGTCTCGGAGCACCTGGCCGGGGTTCCTGGGCGCCGCAGGGGGTGCGGGTGCCGGGAAAGGCGCCTGTCGGCGGGGATGGGGGCTCAGAGCCCCTCGGAGCTCCGCGATGCTCCGGCAGTGCCCGGCGGCTGCTCCGGTCACAGCGCGTGCTTTGCCCGGGGGGAACCCCTCGGGATCGCTCCTGGCTTCAGGTAGTTTTCTGTCTCGCAGGAGGCTCAGACATCGGCATTGCTGTTATTTCTAACACCATCTGGCCCTGAGAATCCGAACTTGCAGGTGGCTCGTGTTTCTACAGAGCTGCTGTGCATCGCTTCCCTAATAATCCTGTTGTGGTTGGACTGCCCTGAGACTTGGGCAAAACCCATAACTGGACCTTAAGTTACACTGCAGACACTGTTTGCTGTGTTTCAGTTCCTAGTGCTGGCACTTTATTCTGCTCTGAACACAGAAGTGCTGCACGCTCAGGGCACTGTGCAGGTGGGTGGGATCCCTGTGCTGTGCAGAATCGTGAAGGATTAGTTCTGAAGAGCCTGAGGTAACAAGGGAATTGGGGCAGGGAGTTTCTCTCCCGCGTTCAGTGCACCCCTGACCCTGTTGGGGTTGCTCAGCACTTACTCTGCGGGTTACTCAGCACTTACTCTTGGGCAGCTGCAGTGAGGAGGGCAGGGTTTGAGTGGTGTGGGCATGGAGTAAATGAATTATGCAGTGAAGTGCAGCACTTAACTCCCTGAGTAACTTGGTAATTAGAGTAACTGGGCAATTAGCTCAGCTGTGGCAGCCAGGCGGGGTGCCTCAGGTGCTTGGGGTTCTCCAGGATTTGCAGGGAATGTGCACAAATGCTGAGGTGTCCTGAGCACAGAGTGGGAATCGTGTGGGGCTGTTCCATTCAGGAATACCTGCTGGTGTCAGCTGTGTGAGGAAGAAGCTGCCAGACAGGCCCCCTCCCACCCTCCTGGGGCTGGCTGAGGCTCCAGGCTGGCGAGGTGGGTGAGCTCTGTGCCCACTGTGCTCATTTGGTGTCAGGCTGGTGCAGGAGAACCACCTGTAGCAGTGACATTTCCCACCTGCACGGGCAGGTCACGGTGCCCACGGGTTGGGCAGCTTTCCATGGACTTATCTCACCAGTGGCTGGAGCGCTGCTGCTCCCACATTGTGGATATGCAGCTGGAGCACAGCAAGACTGAGGCCTGGGACCTCAAAAACCACTGGGGCACCTCAGTCCTGCTGGTTTAAGTGGGAGGTGAGGGGTCAAAGTTGCTGCAGAACAATGCCTGGGAGATGCCAGAGGTTAGAGAGGGCTTGTGGCTGGCCAGGGGATTGAATTCTGCTCCCAAATCCCAAACTGACACTCTCTCCATAGACTGAAGACTCAGGGTTGTTTGAAAATGAGCTGCCTGGATCCTTACAGAGCTCTGAAGTGGCTGTTTTGGCCCACTTAAGCAAAAAGCTGTTTTCTGACTGTGCCATTTTGACACAGATGCCCAGAGGGGGCTTGTATGGCTGCGTCTGCCCTCCAGGAGCCCTTCCTGGTACATTCCTGTGCTACCTAAGAGGCTGCTGCAGACAGGAGTGGGATGCTGAAAAAGCTGGCTGGCAGGAGGGAGCAGGCATTAGGGAGCTGAGGAATGTGCTGTGCCAGCTGTGGGATGGGAGGGTGGGAAGCAGGATGGGAGCCAGTGGCTGTTCTCACCCCTCGGCCTCCCCTGTTAGTCCAGGGTATTGTGTTCTCCACTGAGGCAGCAAAATGATTTCAGGAAGTGTGAAAACAAGCTGTTGAGGTCTGTGTTTGCCTGGCTGTCCGTGGTGAAAGAGGAAATTGCAGGGATGAGATCCCAGGTGGAGTGTGGCTCTTAAACCGTGTACATGACATGAAACCCTAATCCCCTTCCAGGCGGTGGCAGGATCAGGTGGGTAAAATGGTCGCCTTGATCTCTCACGTGGAGCAGCAGGAAGGGGTTTTCCTGCCTTTCCTCTTCGCAGGGAGGCTGGGAGGAGGTGTGTTTGTGTGTAGGGAGAGCCCAAATCCATGCCCAGATGTATGGAGATGTGATCGATCACATGTGTGCCCTATCACTCCCACACCCTTTCTGCCTGTTCACAGCTGGTTGCTATTTTTTAAGAAGAACTTGGGTTTTGGCTTTGCTCGTGGCAGGGTTTGTAATGGGATCTGCTGGAAGGCTCTGCCTTAGCTCTTGGTTATTTTATATTTGTTTGTTCGTGGGATGGTTGCTCCTCCTCAGGTGCAATTTGTAACTTAAATAACAGCAGTTTTACTCTGGTCCCAAAAACAGCTTCCCTTTGGAATGGCTTTAGGTGAGGTGTTTGTGGTTCAGCATGTGACTGTCCCCACAGCCTGTGCCCTGATTTGAAGTCCAATAAAATACTTGGCTGGCACGTGGGGCCTGTGATCCAGTGAAGAGCTGGCCGGCTTTGGAAGTGTTTTAAGGTGTTGACCTGTCCCTGTGAGAGGTTCTGGGGAGTTGTCCTGGGAACAAGTCCAGCCAAGTATTTCCTGCATGGAAAGGGGTCTGCTGTGGGACTGTGTCGGGGAGAAAGGGAGGGGTGAGCTCAAGAACTGCCCTTCCCGGGGCTCTGAACTGCAGCTGTGGCTGGGCAGGGTCTCTGGCTGTTTGGTGGGTGATGTTCAGGCCTCTTTTCCCTTTACAGCAACCCCGTTCCAGTGAGGAACAAAGAGGAAAGTGAAAGCTTTGAGGTGCCTGCTTTGTGCTGAGCTGGGCTGGCAGATCAGTGTGTAACTCCCAGCAGAGCTGAGCTCTCTGCTCGCCAGGGGCCATGGTCTGCAAAACACTTCAGTTCTGGCGTTTTGGACACTTTAAACAGTGAAATGTTTTTATCTTACTCTGTGTTTGTTTGTTTTCTTGCAGTGAAGCCAAAAGGCTGGAATTAGAAAGGCAGCTGATGGAATACACAATGGCTGATCCATACCTGTAAGCCTGTTTAAAAGCTCCTTGGATGTTATTTTATTTTAAAAAGGTGTCCCTGGCTCCCGTTTCCCCATGTTGGCAGGAAGGCTGTGTGGCTGCCCTGCAACCAGATAAGGGAATGGGCCTGGCCGAAAGGCAATGTGGTTTGTAGGTGGCTGAGAACTGGCTCTGATGGATTTTTCAGTGCCTGTTTTGGTGGCACCATGGATTTAGGCAGCTGTGAAACCCTGGGCTCGGTGTGGCTGCCTGTGTGACTCTCAGAACACGTTCCTGTGTGGGCAGCTTTCATTTTGATTCAGTGCGATATGAGAACATAACCCGTGTAAAACACATGTAGAAGAGGGTTTTTTTAATATATTTACCCTTTTGAACACCAAAGCCCCTGTGTGAATCTGCAGGGAAGTGGCACATATATGTGTGTATATATATATATATGTATATGCAGGAGAATGTGTGTTTTTGGAGCCCTGGGGGCAACTCCCCTGTCGGTGTTGTCGCGTGTGAGGAAAAGCGGTTGCAACAGGTGCCTTTGTTTTATTGTCATGCTTTCTAAGTGCAGCTGCTCTTTCCCTGCAGGGTGCAGGTGAAGTCCCTGGAGCTGCAGAAGCACCTGGCAGCAGTGTCCGAGCGGCAGCAGTCGGCTCTGCGGCGGAACCAGTCCTACCGCCGGGAATTCCGCCGGCTGCAGGAGCACATGGACACCACAGGTTTGGAGATGATCCGCAAGATGGAAGTAACTTTCTATAAGACTTGATGCATTCGTTGGTGTTTGCTGTTGTTGTACCAGCAAGGAGATTTCTGCACGTCCTGGTGCTCGGGGCGAGCTGGATCAGGATCCCTGTTTCGGGTTATAGAATAGGCAGCATCTGAAGCACTTCAGGTTGAACAGACTGCTAGAAATAAAGTCAAGCCTTGAGGACTTTTTAAAAATTATTATTATATTGTCTTGCTGTTCCCCAGCAAACAATTTGGGGTGTTGCAAAGTGGTATCGTATGGTGGTGAGTTCAGAGTTTTAAAACCGAAGCTGTGATTTGTGTTTTGGGGAAGCGCAGTCTGGGAGGGGAGTGAGCAGTGGCATCCTTCAGAAACATTTGGCTGTGTTTATTCCTCACACAACTGTCACCCAGGCAGTGCCTGTTTGGATCTCTTCCTGGCTGCAGTGAACCCAGAGTTCAGACTGTCTGTGGAGAGGGTGTGGTTCCCCTCGCTCTGATTTTTTAGTTGTTACTCGAAGCAGAGCAGGAGGAGGGGTGTGCCGTGGTCCCAGCTTTCCCCTGCTGTTTTCCAGGATTTTTTTTTTTTCTCAGCAGCCCCAGTGCACATGAGTTGGACCAGAGGCAGGTTGTGGTGGTTCTGACACCCTGGTGTGAGTCCCAGTCGTGCCAGGGGTCAATCTGCACGTGGGGTTTTTGTTCAGTCCTTCCATTTTGATGTTTCTGTGCCATCCATTTTATCTTTGCCAAGTTACAGTTATTTTTCTGAGCTGCTGAACAAATGACATCTCCTCCATGCTAGTTATGAAAAGCAGAAGAGTTATGGAGCATGTAATCATTTAATCTATCGTGGGAGTACACAGATAGAAATTATTACTGTTTTCTCTTCTTTTTTTTTCCATAGAGAATGCCCTTTAGGAGTGCTTTATCACAACTCTGGGCACATTTATTATGTGGCTGTAGCTCACAAAACTTCTTTTGTTTCTGAAAGATGCACTTTTGTTCCCCGTGTTTGTCTGCAGTTTGGTCAGTAATTTTCAGGAGTACAAATAAATTCACTTAAGCTTTCAGGAAAATTCCAGGAGTTACATTTGAGCTTCTTCTCAGCATCCCTAATTCTCACGTTGTGAGGTTTTGTTTCCTAAAATTCCATGTTTACAGTTTCCTGAGCAGCCTCTTACCTGGGAACTGGAGCAAAGGGCAGAGCCGGGGCAGTTAATTGTGTTAAGGGTTTGTTTTCATGCCTGTTACCTGCTGCAGAATAGGTGCTGAAGTGCTTTCAAGGCCGCCCTGACACGTTTGTTGGGGTTTGCAATTAGGAACAGACGGGATTAATTACGGGTGCTGCCCGTGCGGAGCCCTGTTCCGAGCGCGTTACCGCTGCCCCATTAAACCCTGGAATGGGCAGAGCCAGGCCTGGGGGAGCAAACACAGGACCTTGTCCTGCTGGGCTGCTCTCTGTGACACCTGCCCTGCATCCTCCCCCTAAGGGCTCAGCCAGTTGTGGGGTGGTGTGTGACAAACACGTCCCGAAGCTGCTTTCACCCCACAGCAGCCGAGTCGCTGTCTGGGGACAGCAGCAGTAACTCAGTGTTACAGATGATGGCTGGGGTGCCATAAATTTGAGTCAACAAGTTACTGCTGTTCCGTGGGATTCTAAATTGCAAATGAATAAATGTGTGTGAAAGCCCTGCAGCAGACTGTGCACAGGCCATGCTGTTTTGGAGCAGAGAAACAAGGAGAAAATGGGATCTCTGGCTTTTTAAATGTGGTCTGAGTGAAAAAGGCTGCGAGGGCTTTACATTTAAAGGTGCACAGTTTGTGAAGTAATATCTGTTGGTTTGTATGTGGGGGGGGTGGATTTTGGCCTCCAGTTTTGTGTGACGGATTTGTTCCCATTTAGGCGTGGTATGGAAGGGAAATTAAAAGCCTGTTATCCCTTCAAGAGGGCAGCTTGTCAGCAGGAGGTGACAAGGAGGAAGGATCCAGCGAGCAGGTAATGGGGGGGAATGGGCTTTTTTCCAGGGCTGTGCAGCCTTTCCGTGGGGATTTCAGCCCTGGCGTGTGCAGTGTGAAATGGTGTTCAGTGCCTGAGTGAAGGAGAGTCACCTGGGTAAAAAGTGCAATTATTTCAACCAAAGAGCTGGAATTTAAAAAAAAAAAACCAAAACCAAAAACCAAACCTGATTGTTTATGCACTTCTTGTTGGGTTTTCTAATTCCTGTGCTGGATAGTGTGAAAGTGGTCGTGGCCAAGGGGGAGTGTTCCTAACGAGGGGTATTTGTGGAAATGCAGCGGCGGATCCGTGCGGCGTGCTTATAATTCTGTGTGTTTTGACCTTTCCTCAGAAGAAGCAGAAGGAGATTGCATATCTAAGGAACAGACAAAAAGACTGACAAGGAATACTTAAAATATCTGCTGCCATATATCTGCAGTAATGCAGGCTCCTAATCCCTCCTCCTATCTCCATATAAATGATACAGTTCAAGACCAGAAGCCGCTTCCTCCACTGAAAGCGGCAAAGCTCTTTTAGATGAAATGTCTAAAAACCATCTGGTAATAACTCGGAGCGTGCTGGCAAGAGTAGTCACTTGTGACTGTGTGTGGGAGCCCCTCAGCCAGGCGGCGCCGGCACGGGCAAGGACGGGAGCGTCTCTCCATCCATGTCTCTCCATCCTCCCGAGGAGCCGGCGGCGCCGCGTCCCTCAGGCTGCAGCATTCATTAAGGGGAGCTTACTGGGCTGAAAGCTGGGAACAGATGATAACGGGATATGATTTTCATATTTAATGCATTCCTTGGAAGAGTGTGTGTGTGCTGCAGATTGATAGAAGAATCAACTGCTACTTTGCTAAAAGACTTTCTAGTTTGCCCTATAGCTACCGATGGAATCATTCAGCCAAGAAATTAACTTTTTCCCCTTTTACCTGCTTTATGTATCTGCTAAGCAGGCTGCTGGCTGCCAGGGAATGTTATTATGCAGTTAAATGTTTGGTATTTAAGACTCTTATCAGAAAAGAAACAGAGGCCACACTATTTTGTTTTTATAGTAGGAGGAAGGTTTTTGCTTTCCTTTCTTCAGTGCATTAGCAGTTGTTAATCTGAGTTTATAGGAAGTTTTCCCCACAGATTAAAAAGTTAAAAACCTTGAATTTAGAGCATTCTTTAAACTGCAATATACAAAGCAATGAACCTGAGCAGCCTTGACCTATATAGGCCAGACCTCCAGCAGGGTGGGAATCGCGGTTGGAATTGGGAGGTGTGGGGAAAGACGAGTTTATTTTGGAGTGCTGGGTTGCTCAGTTAGAGCAGGTGGTGTGGGAGATGGGGTTTCTAACCCATGGAAAAGTTGACATCGGTGCTAGAACGTCAAAGGCTCATGCTGTGACTTGGGATATCCAGGATATGGATCACGGAACTGGTTTCACTTACCAGCACTGGAATTCCTTCAGGCAGGTTGGGATCCAGGGACTGTGTGATGAGCCCACCAGTGGCACATCCTAGGGACTAAGGACAATCCTAGAAACGGTCTGCCAGTGATGGTCAGTCTCCCAATGGCCTGAATGCCCCCAGGAATACCTGGTACGTCTTTGAGATGGAGGATATGCACCCTTTTGGGGTCCCAGTTTTTGTGGGAGTCCTTAAGCTCAGAAGTCCCACACTGAGGAGGTCCATCCCAGCTGGCAGAGCTCCTGAAACCTTTGTGCTATGAAGTCTGGCTTCTTCAACTTGGAGGCACTTTCTTGAAGCCTTCTGAAGATGTTGGACTCCTGCAGGCTGGCACTGCTGTGTCTGTTGGCACCTCCCAGGAACACCTTGAGCCCCCTTCCCTGGGAAAGGGGTGTTCCCAGGTGAGGGAGTGCCTGGCAGGGACAGGCCTCTCACTGGACCTGCCCTCCAGAGCTCTCACCTGGTTGTCTGCTGCCAGGGGACACTGGGCCCTTCTGTCAGCCCTAGTGGAATGGCTTTTCCTGTCTCTGTTCTCCTCAGAACACTCTAATGATGATTAGAGCGATGGGGTTTGGCCCTGGAGGATGGTGGGAGCCTGCCCTCCAAACCAGGCGAGGACTGAAGGTGTGTTTGTGCAGAGACTTTATTCAGCTCCCAGCTGGGGTGACCTGAAGTTCAGCCATTTGGTGACTGTTCTGGGCAAGACACCTCCAGGTTTGCCCTGTTCTGGTGGTAAAAGCAGCGCCTGGACCAACATAATCTGTCACATTTCTGCTTTGAGAACGCAAAGGTGCTGAAGGGATGATTATTTCTCTGCAATCCAAGAGAAGCTTGTTAGGGATGTGTCTGCTGTGACTCTGCCAAGAGCTTGTGCCTGTTTGAATTCCATTTGTTTTGGAACACTGCATCCAGGAGCTGCCAAAGCCATGCAGGACTGGCAGGAGGCATTTGAAAGCACCAGCTAATTAATTAGGAGGAACCTGAGAGCAGTGGTGATGGAATAAGCTGTGAACTTAATCTGAGTAGCAAACCTTTGCTTCTTCTTAAAATAACTTCATGGCTTTTTGTTCTGCTTCTTGTTACGTGGAATTTGAGCTTTTTTAAGGGACCCTGGTCACAGACCAGACAAGATGCCTTTGTCTCCTTTCAGCTGGGCTCGGCAGCTGACTTTGTGTGGGAGGGAGAGGTCAGGCAGTGAAAGAGAGGGGAGAGGTGTGGAGGTGACTGTAAATTGTCCTGCTGGGATTTGGGGCTGGAAAGGAAGCCCTGCTCAGTGTGAACAAGGGCATTACGATGGCTAATTTTGGCTTTGCATAAACTGGTGGTGACCCTGCAGTGGTGGTGGTGGCAGTAGCCACTCCTCCTGAATTGTCCTGATTGAGTAGGTTTGCAAAGGAAAAAAGGCAAGTACTAAAACACTGGGATTTAGCAGGAGAGCTGTTGTACTCCTGGACCTGTTTTTTTTTTTGTGCAAGTTCAACAGTTCTTGGAGGAAAGTGCCATTGAAAATGTGTCTGGTGGGTGCCCCAGGAGGGAAAGGGAATGGTGTGAGCTGAGGAGCTGCCCTTCCTCTGTGCTGTGGTGTAGCAGCCAGGCAAGAGCAGAAGGCCCCCATTTTCACACTGGGATGCACGGAATGCATGCCAGGGGATTGTGTAATATTAATGCCGTGGCAAACACTTGAATGCTGTGGTAGCTCTCTCTCCAGAAAGCAGTATGCCATCCTCCAGAAGCTCCACTTGCAGCAGTGTGTGTCCCCATGTGTGTCCTTCAGCCACGTCCCACTGTGTGTTTCAGGTGCCACAGGCTGGAGGACGGGCGGGAATTGGCACCGAGGCAGCCGTGCCAAGAGAACAGTTCCATCCAGCCACAGCCTTCCTGGGCTGCCCCACTCCAGCTGTCTCGGCCACGGGAGGTTTGGGAATGCAGCAGGAGCCTCCCCAGCCCCCATTCCCTGAGGGATGTGGTGCCCAGAACCAGAGCAGCGCTGCTGGAGAGACCGAGGGGTCCCTGGAGGGAGCACACGGGGACCTGGCTGCCAGCGAGGAAGGCTCTGAGCAGCTCCTCTCCTCAGCTCCTGACCCCACACCAGCCACCCCCGAGGAGGGACAGCTGCAGGGAGGTGTTCCAGGTACGGCAGCAGGAGCAGGCAGTGAACTGCAGGGTGTGGCAGCCTCTGGGCGTGTGTTCTGCTGCAAGGTGTTAACACTGGGAACAGTCAGAGCCTCTTGTAGTGCACTCCTTTCCCCTGAAAAAAGCTTTGTCCAGCTTCTCTGTTTGATTGTTCCTCCAGAGCTGATTGAGTCTGGTAGCTGGTCTCTGTGCCAGGGTGGTTTTTGAGGAGTGTGCCACGTTTGTTCCCAGACCCCAGAGCCTCCTCAGACTCCCCCTTGTGAGAGGAGTGTGGAAGGACACGGGGCTGTGGGCAGGGAAACCCACAGCCGAGGGAAGCAGAAGGATGGATGGATGCTCACACACACACGTGTGAAGGGACAGGGCTGAACAAAAAGTGTGGGTAGCCTTGGTTTCATTTCCTACACTAGGGTTTAGTCCTTGGTCCTGCTGACGTTTTGGGAAGAATAATGAATTCCTCTTTTTTTTTTTAATTTATTGTTACAGGATCAAAGTCTGTGCTGAGTAACTGGTGGGCTGGCCCAGAGGAGAGCAGTGCAGAGCTCCTGGTGTCCAGCAGTGCCGAGGAGGGGGTGACCCCCAGCACTGCCAGCGCCCAGCAGGAGCGGGATGGGGATGCCCAGGCTGGGGAGGGCTCCCCACTGAGCTCCATCCTGGCACAGCAGGAGCCCTCAGACAGCTCAGCACCACACAGGTATGGCCTCCCCTGATTTCTGTCTGCTCACTGTCTGTGGTCCGGAGGCTGCAGCTCAGCCAGACTGCTCAGGGCACTACAGCCCAAAGCTCTCACCTGTCCTGTGGGATTTGGACCTGTGCTGGAGGTTTGGTGGCTTCAGGTACCTCCCTCGGGGCAGAGCTGGCCGAGTGAAGGGTGTTTGTTGTTCAAATGCAATAGCTGTTCTTCAGACGTACACAAATCTTCCCCCGATGGCTCTGTATGGCAAGTACCTGTCACTCTCTGAGCAGCCTGTTTTGTGTGGACCAGAACTGCCAGTTGGTTCAACCTTTTGGCCATTTGTCTGGAAATAGAAAAGGAGGGAGAACAAGGACAGTGCAGTGCAGCCCCGTGTCCTCTGGTGCCGTGTGACAGTGTGGGGTTGTGTGGCCAAGGACTGCAGTGCCACAGCAGTGCCTGTGACATCCAGCACAGCCGGATTGTCGGCCTTGCAACGCCCTCATGAGACAGGGAAGTGCATCCCCACCCCAGCAGGGCAGTGCCCACCCAGAGATGGTCCCTGGGGCTGGCCCAGGTCCCTCCTTTGCCAAGCACTTTGACAGTCCTTTGCCAAGCACTGTCATCCCTTCCCAGGTCCCCACTGGGGTTTCAGTGGGACATCAGGCAGCGACCACACGCAGAGGAAACCAGTGCTTTTACCCCTGGAGAGCAGGGGTAAAGTGCTCCTGGGGAACCAGTTCTCTTCTGCCCCTTGGCTGAGTTTTCCCATCCTGGTTGTTTGCAGCTTTTAAACCTGTTCAGTGCTTCTGTTCCCCCAGCACTCCTGGTCCGTGGTCTCGGTGCTGAGGTCAGGATTGGTTGGAGTGTTAATAGGTGACAGCTGAGCAGAAACTGGCACTCCTGTAACTTTATCATCTCACATTTGCGTCGGGCTGTTGCTCGCTATGGAAACATCGCCTAATTTACATGTAAATAGCTTTTCCCCAGTGTTTCCTTTGTATCACACCTGTTAATCACGGCGGGGCCGGGGGAGTGCCGGTCCCTGCCAGAGCTGAGCACCGGCAGTTCAACCTTGTGTTCTGTCCCTGGCCAGGCCTGGCTGTGCCGAGGCTGGGGAGAATTCCAGGGAAATCACACACGAGCTGAAACCACGGCGGGGAGGGTCCCTCCCCGGGATGCCGAGCTGAAAGCTGCCCTCCCTCAAGGCCGGGGGAAGTGGGGTCACCACTGCTGGCTGTTTCTGCAGCAAAGATACGGATTTTGATTTGTTTTACCTGAAAATGAAAAGGCACGTAAGCTGGCAGGAGAGGAGGATCTTGTGGAGGGAGGAGCAGTAGTTCCCTTGTCGTCCTTCTGGCCGGGTGGGCTTTCCAAGGCACCCAAAATTCAGCGTGTACCCTTGAGCCTTGCAAAATAATCATTGAGCTAAAGAACTTGTGGAAAGGCTGCCAAGTGATCAGTGCATGAATGTCAGTTGTATGAGTTGCACAGAATGCAGCTTTCTTTGGCCAGAGTGTATCGTGCCACGGATTCACAACAGCAATAATTCCAGCCCCTGTGGTTTTCTCTTGCCGAATTCCTACTCTGGCTGGAGAAATGTGCTGACATTATACCAAGCTCTGTGTATTTGCTGTCTGAAGTCAAAATCTCTGTAACCTGGGCTCTCCCACTGCAGCAGTGTTGTTGCTGTGGCATCCAGAGGAAGCACTGTTCCCTCTCCAGGGGCACTGGGGCCGTTTGTGCACTATTGGGGAATTATCTGAACAAAGTGCAAAGGATGGCCTTGAAAGGAGCAGAGACCACGGCTGACTGCAGAGGCAAAACAAAATCCTTGTTGTGTGCCAGGAAGCCACAAGTTTTCATCTTTGGAGCAAATGCCTCTCCTGTCTTACTGCAGAGGTGCCAGTCTCTGTTTTTTAAGGAGTTTGGGGGGGGGGGGGTTTCCCCATGGTTAAGAGTTGGCAGGTCATGTGTTAGCTCTGGATGAGTTCAGCCTCATTTCCAGGTGCCTTCCCCAGCTAAAGGAGTGGTTACCCTGACATCTGGATGTTTTCACAACCAGACCCACGTGAGCCTGGGCTTTGTTTTCTGGTGATCAGCCTCCACCATGTGGGGGCTCGTTGGGCTTGTGAAGGCACCAGGACTGCCCTCCCGACAGCTCCAGCCCTGGGTCGGAGCTGCTGATCCGAGGGGAAAGGCTCTGTGTCCTCTTAACCATTCCTTACAGCACCCAGCCCTTTCTTTGAGCCTTAAACCCGGGGGGGAGAGGCTGGGGGAGAGGGTCTCTGAGAATTAGTGCAGAGAAAGATGATGACTATTTTAAGGCTGGTGCTGAGGGGGTGGAAAAAGGCAGAGCTTATGCCAGTGCTGCTTCAGCTGCATTGAGGGGGACTTAGCACAGATGGATTGTGCATTACAAAATGTAACACATAATTCAAGCTGTCAGCTTAATCAGACTGTTTCCAGGAAGCAACCTGTAAAAGAGAAGGACCTCTTGTTTGCTGACCTCTGATCCGTAGCCTGCTGCAGATTGTCATACATTTTGTTTTTCTTTATGTTGGTGTCCCTTCCTTCCCCTTCCCTTTTTATTATTGTATCCCTCTCGAGTGGCACCCTGGAAGGACCACCCAGCGGGAGGAAAACAATGGGAAACGAGCCTGCCTCTGGAATACAGGGTTTGTAAGGCTGGGGGAAAAGAGAAAGCACTGTTTAACTGCCTATGTGATCTCCCGGGTATTGTTTTGCTTATTAAATGTCTAGGAAACTCGACCAAAGGCACGGCAGCTCCCACTTAATTGTTCACTGTTGCCCAACACTCCGAGGGAAAGCACATCTTTGGGTACAGCTCAACCCGAGGGCGAAAACGCTGCAGGTTTTTGTGCTCAGAGCTGCTCAGCCGGGGCACTGCGAGCCGGGGTTAACTGTGGAAACGTGTCAGCTCCTGCACACGGAGCAGAGAAATTAAACTCCCTCCTGCCCCAGCTGGGGTGTTCATCGCTGGTGGAGACCTGGGCTGGGAGCCCCACAAAGCGGCAGCCGGGGCCCTGAATAGCCATTTACACCCCTGGTCCGGGATTAGCCGCCGCATTGTTTCAGCGGTTAAGTCCTCATTTGCATCATTATAGAGGTGCAGCCTCATCAAAACCCCTCTGAGGTCCCCGGGCTGTCCCCATACCTGTAGGTGGTCACCAGATTTGTTTCGATTGTGGAGGTGAAGGAATTAAACTGCTCGGCACAGGGGTAATTTCCATGTGGCATCTCAGCCCGGGCTGATTTTTTGATGGTTGGTTTGCTCGTGGTTTTTTGGTTTGTTTTTTTTTTTTTCCTTCCTACACAGCTCGGGCAGTGTGGTTTTGCTGTTTGCTTTGAAAAGCTCAGACGAGAGTGGGTTTTTTTCCAAGGGCTGCAACGGGAATGTATTTTCAATACCTGTGCACTTCGGGTGGCTCCAAGCCCTGTTTGTCTATCCTGGGATGCTGGCAGGGCATCCCGGCCCTCCGGAGGCAGGGAAACACAGTAACTCCAGAGACTTCTCAGCCAGTCACTCCTGTGATCTGCAACGCGAGTCTCTGGACAGGGAATATGATTTTGAGAAGCAATTTTATTTTTCTACGAGGCAGAAGATGCACGTGGCCTTTAAAAACAGCAAAAGTGCGTTTGGTTTGTTTGTTTTGTTTTGTTTTGTTTTTTCCCCAGTGCATATGGCACAAGGACAAGCAAGAATTAGTTGGGTTTTTTTCAGTCTCTTTAACGCGGGAACGAAAACAATTTCCATTCTGTCTTGCTTAGCTCCTGTCTAGACCTTCCTCCCGTCGCAGGCTCCGCAGTGCTCAAGTGCTGGCAGGATCGTGGCACTCGTGAGCGCTGAAGGAGGGGCTCTCTGCCGATACCTGGCTCTCCTGCCGAGGCTGATATGCCTGCCGGCACTAATACCTTGTTGTGTCTCCTGAATGGTTTCTTAGGGACAAACACTCGTGGAGTTAATTGGAATTCACTCCTCTGTGAAACTTCACTGGAGCAACTGGAAAAAACAAACATCTCTGGCAAACAAGGTTGCAGCGCTGAGATTTTCTACGTTAAAAGACGAGCCAGGGGCAGTGGGTGCTCAGCTGTGCCCTGTGGAGTGAGGCCTCAGGGGTGAGATAGGGATGCAGGAAAGGTGAGGTGTGTCTGGATCCTGAGCCTCAGGACAGGGACAGACACGGTGACAATGGTGACCCCGGCCCAACTTCCTCACGTCTGCAGAAGTCACAAGTGGCTTCTTACAGTTCCCACCCTGAGCATTTTCAAAGTAAAAAGTGGTAATTAATGACAAACGTGATGGCTTTTCCCACCATGTGTTGACCCCCTTGTCCAGACCAAGGAGTGTCACATGTGGGGTGTCCCACTGACGGTGCCAGCTTTGTTCCTCAGGGACACGGATGTGCTGCAGAGTCACCTGAGCCACCATTCCCTGTTCCTGGAGCAGCACCGGGCTCGGGCCCCGGAGGGAGCAGCAGAGATGTCTGACGACCTGCTGGCTTTGGGCGAGGAGGCACAGGACAGCCAGGTGGGCACCTGCACCTTATAATATGTACTTTTTGGTTTTTTGGCCCAGGGCGGTGACTTCTTTCTCTGAGGGCTTTAGGGTGTTCTGGGAGCCCCACTGGGTGGTGGTGCTGCACAGCTGGGCTGCAGGGGAAGGTGCAGAAAGGGGCCTTTGAGCTCCTGATGTACAAATAGAGCTGTTGAGTCCATCGGCTCCATCCCTGTCAGCACCTCTGGTCCGCGGCAGGTTGGTGATGACCAGCAGCAGGTCCAGCTTCCTCGTCTCTGATCACTGAACCATGTCTGCCTTCTGTTCTAACTCCCTGTCACATCAATGAGGAGGGAGCAGGCTCAGGACAATAAAATTTTCTCCTGAATCCAAAACGTTTTGGCTAGAAATCAGTTACAGATCAGTTAGGAAACCTGGAGTTCTCTGAGGTTCCTCCTCAGCACCAGAGGCTCATTGTGTTGTTAAACAGCTGTTTACTGAACGTGAAGTCGGAGTAGATTTCACTATTTTGTGTCCCAAAACAAACTCCAGAGGAACACCCTGCAAGTAGGGTAATTTAACACCTAACAGAAACACACTGGATGCAGATTTCCCTGGGAAGCACAGATCAGCCTGAAGGTTGGGGGACGCTCCAGGTGGAGAATAACGGGCTGTGGCTATTCTTGTTTTTAATGCTGCAGGCTCTGCCGGTGCTGAGAGAGGCCCTTCCAGGAGAGTGTGGGGATAGGTCACCTGTCCAGGGTGAAGAGTCGTCCTGCAGTCTGCCATCGATGCCGACAGACGGCGGGGAAGGGGAGCGGGCGGAACGCGCTGCCCGGCTCACCGGCACGGGAGAACCAGGTAACGGGGTCACAGGGCTGGACCTGTGCCCAGGTTCCTGCTCTGGACACGAGTGTGTTCTGCCCAGATCCCCAGGAGGCTGTGCCATAGCCACTGGCAAATTAGTGTGGATTTGTAATAGATTTGGGGGATTTTCCGAAATATCTCAGCATCGCTTGTCATTCTGGTTACTTCCCAAAATCAGTGATACCTGTGGTGGTGGGACTTTCTTCAGGAGTTAAAAAGCCAAGCCCTGTGGTGTGTGCACATGTTTACAAAGCATCTCCTGTTCAGAAACAGGAGAATGTATTCGCTGTCTTTTGTTACTAAGCCAGACTGCAGAAGGACTTACCAAAACCAGAAGGGTTCATGGGGGGGGAAGCATGCGGGGCTATTTCCCAGCTCAGGAGGTGAAGGTATCTGGGAATCCAGTTAATTTCTGTGGCTAAGGAAGGAATATATCAGTGCAGTGAGGGCAGCTCGCTCGCTCTGCCCTCGGAGCATCCCTTCCATCCCAGGCTGGGCACAGTTAGGCTGCCGTGCTCTTTACACAGCAGATGCAAACACGCTGCTTCAGGTCTCCTAAATTCATGCAACTGTTATTTGCAGAGGTGGCACAGACTTTGATTTAAGCTGATTTCCACGGTGGGTGTGATCCCCTCTGCTGCTGCTGGCCAGGAGCACAGCGTTGCCGTGGGTTTGTTGTTTCCCAAATCCCGTCGGGTCTCCAGTTCTTTTAAGATGTTTGGTTGGCTGGGCCTTGTCTGGGGAAGCTACAGAGAGGCAGGGCGGCTGTGGCACGGGGTGAGTTCCCAGTAATGGATAGTTTAGATCAATAAAGAAGAGATAACAAAAGTGAGAAATTAAAGGGAGTGGGGCTTAAAAGCAAACAAACGGGTCTGATCGCCGCCGCTTTGAAAGGGTTTCATTACGGCGCGTTCGCATCCAGGAGTCACAAGCTCGTGTGAAGATGGGAGCGGGGAAGAAAGCACAGTGGAAAAGATTCCTATTTACAGGTAGAAGGGGTGGCTGCATATTAACCTCGAGCCCAGCATCCAGCCTGATTATCCAGTCAGACCGTGGTGGTTCGGTGCTGCGGGGCCGCTCACAGGGGGCACGTTCAGCCGCTGCACACGGAGCACAGAGAGGAAACATCAGGTCAGACAGTCCAGCTCACACTGGCACAAACCAAGGTGGAGAGCAACAGGGCCTGTTGGATTCCTTGTAGTCCTGTTGCACACTCAGTCCATGTGGATATCTGGCCGACGAGCCTTTCGGGGCCGGGATGGGTGTTACAGGGTCAGTCTCCGTGGGGAAGATCCAGTAATTATTGGGCAAACCACACGTGTTCCTGGTTTGGTTCTCTCCTCGAGGAGAGACTGTGGGTCGTTAGAACAAGCGTGGGGCAGAGCCCTGCTGGTGGGGGCTGTGCCTGTGCCAGCCAGGAGCCGTGGCTGTGCCTCCTGTACCAAAACTGCCTGAGAGCACGAATTTTGGGCAATAAGGCTTTACCCTGCTCTGTCCCCCTGCCCAGCTCCCTCATGCTGTCGTGTTTGACCACAAAGGTGCTGGTGCAGGTCTGTCCTCAGCTGCTCCTGCAGCCCTTGCTAGGGCTCCCTCCAGCCAGCGCCATCGCTGATATTCCCAAGGAGGATTCCGGCTCCCAGGTTTGGATCTCTGTAGCTGCCAAGGGGTTTGGTTTGCTTCTCCCCACCCTGAGTTTTATGACTTGCCAGTCCTGGTTTTAGCCACTGTTTTGCCTACGAGTGTGTCAGGGAATTCTCTGTTGCAGGTTTTCCTGCCAGGGACCCTGGGGGGCTGTTCCACGTCAGTCAGGCAAGAGCCACGTCCTGGTGATCATCCCCCTTCCCGACCTCTCCCGACTGTCTCACAGAACAGACATGCAAACACAGATGCTTCCTGTGTGTAAAAATGGCAATAAACTCCTTACCCAAACCCAGTAACTGCAGTTTAAATCCATCCCTTCAGAGGGCGCTGTGTTGGCTGTTCTGCAGCCACGTTTTCCCCAGGAACGAGGCTTCTCACCCCTCACTTGAAAGCCAAGTTGCTCCTTTCAGACACGATTCATCTTCAGCCCATGATCTTCTCCAGGCTCCTTGTTGTGCTCCCGCTCCTCCCTGCCAGCCAGCTGCTCTTTCCTTTTTATCATCATTATTTGCTGTGGCCCCAGAGCTCTGAAGTTTTTCTGTGCCTAAAATAGAAGCGGTGGCTTTTGGGCTGGAACGACTCGTTCTGGGGTTTTAGTTGAACTGATACTTGATGTCCATCCACATAAGATTATTTTGCTGTGTGACTTTTTCTGTGCTTAAGGGATACAAATTTGGGGTGGTTTTTTGTTTTGTTTTTTTTTTTTTTCTTCAGTATTTGCTGAGTTCTTGAAGCTTTGGTTTGAAACACCAGAAACCTTTTGAGGCTTTGGGGTTTGATGGACTTTGCTGTGGGAGCCGTGTGGACGCTCTTCCGAGCGGTCTTTGGGATGGCACTTTAGGAATGCTTCTGGGCTTTTGGTTTATTGAAAAGAGAACCAAAACATTTATTTACTCTAATGTTCTGCGAATATTCCTGAAGTATTTGCGTTGGCTCTTTAATGCCTGAGGGGGAGGAAGGAGGTGGCTGTAGGGAAAGGGATTTGGGGTGTGGGGTGTCCCTCAGAGACAGCCTGGGCTGGTACCTGGAGCTCCTCTGCACAGAGGCTTGGGCAGGGATCTGCCGAGCACTTCCCACCCGGAGCAGGACACGGGAGCTCTGAAAACCCCTGTCTGTGGTCAGCTGGGGGCGTGGGGGCACCGTAACTCGTAGCACGAGCGTGGGTTTGTTCCTAGAGCCCTGTCCGGAGCTCGTGGAAGGCTGTGCAGGGATAATTGGCTTTAAAAGGATCATATCTGGTGCACGGTCTCGCCCAGAGAGGAGCTGGGCTGATAACAGCCATCTCCTTTGATAGCAGGTTATGTGAGGATACAGGGGGATATCTGGGCTCCTTCTCATCTCCTCCGAGGACGCTTTGTTTTTTATCAGGGAAGACGCGCAAAAGAAATTGTTCAGCTCTTTGGCTGTTCCTGAGGTAGGTGAATAATGTGAGATTAAAAAGGATAAAATCCATTATTTCTTGTTTTGCTGGATGGCTGCTTAAGAGTCTCATTTATGAGTAGGAAATTGCTGATTTTATTGAAGGGGCAGGCTTGTTAAATCTTTAACAAAACCAGATTCTCTCTCTCTCCCCCCTTCATTTGTGTCTCTGATTTGAACAGACATTAAGGCCATGCAGGATTTGAATAAAAATGGTGTAACTGCTCCACTCATTGGGCTCTGCTTTCACAACGGCCTGTGTGTCACCTTCCAGCTCCCCTCCAGGTGTAAAATATCCAATATGGGAACAAGGAGGAAAAGCCCTCTGAAGAAGAAAAAAAATTAGCCCTTCTTTATATACCCTAAGGGAACATGAAAGAGCACCAACCCGATCCTGCTTCCCTTTCCAGGCCACCTTTAATGAGCCAATAATCCTGCCAGCGCTCTGCCCACGCCCACACCTCCTTCCCCATGGGCTCCTCCTTTGAGCTGGAGGCTCAAAGGTTCCCAGGCTCCTCTTGGAGTGCACTAATAAAGGCATTAATAAGTCTCACCCAACTTTTCCCTTCGTTTGATATCTTCCATTCGCCTGTGATGGAGGAAGTTCCTCCCTGTGCCACAGGCTGTGGCTGCTGGGGCTGCCAGAGCTGCCCTGGGGCAGCTCCAGGCTGGATGCTGGGCTTAAATCAGGCTGGGGGATGGCCTCCAGGAGGGGGTGTTTGACACTGAGGTTCCTAAAAGACCCCAGGGGCTTTTTAGAGCTGTGAATTCTGGGTGGAAAGTCTTCCACCTTTAAGCAGAGGCAGCAGCTTCTGAAGGCATCCTCAGTGGATTGCCCCAGTCCACTGGGCAGCCCAGAGACTCCTGGTGGGAGGGAGGCATTGTACTGTGGAGGATTGTTTATAAGAACATTTATCCCTTTATTTAATTTAAAGGATGGGGATGTATCTGTTGGTGTTTGACTGCAAGCACAGTGGTCAGTGCGAGGGGGTGGAGGAGCTCGTTCCTCTGTGCATGAGGTTTTCCCAGGAAAACCAGCAACCTGGAGATCTACCTTTCCCATTTCCAGGCAGAGAGGGTCAGATATGCAAAGGAGCCTTTTTAAAGTGGGATTTGTGCTTGAGCATCGTGTGCTTTGGAAACAAATATAAAGATGAGCAATTGTCTGACTCCAGTGAATGAATCCATTTGCTTCTGCCTTTTTATTTTAAACAGATCTTTACAGAATGGAAATGAGATCCACAGAGCAGGGGGGAAAAGGGAAGAAAGGAAAGTGTGGATCAAAGGCTTTGAAATAGTTGTTTGGTTTGCCCTTTAAGTCATAAAAATCCCAAGACGTGTCTAATCCAATTTTTATTGAATTTATTTATTTATTATTGTCTAATAATTTGTCTAATTCAAGAGAATGGTTGAAAACACTGAGACATCAAATAATATTGAAAGAACTGTAACATTTTAAAATAATCTACATTTAAGGGGAAGGAGAAAAGAAATAACCTTGCTTCTGATTAAAGTAAATGGGAACTTGGGGATTAAAAAAAAAAAAAAAAAGTAAAAATACTCCAGAAATCCTTTAAAAGCTTTGCTTAGAGTTGCCATGATCCAAAACAGTTCTGAAGAGAAGCTCTGTGCTTGCTCCTTTTTCTGAAAGGAGGCAAAAGGTGTGAAAAACTTTCCCAGTTTGGAAGAAATCCCCCTCACAGCCTAATTGCTGGGGAGGGGGTGTTGTTTCCCTGGTTTGAGCTGATTTCCACTCCACCAGGAGCTGCCATTGCTGCTGCTCTGCTCACACCACGGCATCCCATGGGAAACTGGAGCTGTGCTGCTGGGGGGGGATCCAGCTGTTGGGATTGGGGTGTTCACAGCTCCTGTTTTTCCTGCCCAGGTCGGGATATGGACGAGGACAGTTCCAAAGCCAGTGACAGCCGGGAGGCGCCTCAGGAAACCAGCTCTTCGTCAGATGGAATAGTCCTTCCCTTCTCCAGGTAAAGGCATCGGATCTGTAACCTTGGAAATGCTTCCCCAGCACGAGAAACACTGACAGGAAACCACCAAAGCTCCCGTGATTTTTTTTTTTTAATTGTTATTGTTGGGGTTTTTTCACTTGAACCTGGGTTGAAGTTTGTGTTTCTGTTCGTGTAACAGAACACGGAGGGTTTGAACACCTCAGGAACGGTCTGTGCCAAAGCCAGGTGTGGTCTGGCAGCTGCTGTTCCTTGTTTAAGGCTCAGTTGACACCCCGGTGAACCCCAGCCAAGCATCTCCAGCTGCTTTCGGGGGCAGGACGGATCAGGATCAGGAGAGGGGCAGCCAGGGAGCAGAGTGTGCCAGCACTGAGGAGGTGGGGTTCTCCTCTGTGTGTCTGAGGTGTAAACCAGGTGTAACTGATAGTGCTGCCTGTGGGCTCAGGGGGGTTATGTTTGATACTGGCTGTTTAGAAGGTGCCTTTCTGGCTTCCAACGGAGGATGTTAATTCACCTGAGGGGTGCAGGGTGTGCTGGTTTCATTAAAAAAGGAGAGGAAAGGTGGTTTGTGTGTTTTAACCTTTGGGTCCATGGGCAGTGCTGTTGGATGCTCCCTGTGCTCGTCACTGGCGTGGGACAGGGATCAAATCGGTGCTCGGGAAGCAGCAGAAAATGGGGATAATGCAGCTGGCTCCTGGAATGCTGGCCAGGCTTTTGGTCCTTCCCTGCCCCTGTTGGAGCAGCTCAGCTCGTGGGTGCTGTGGCTCCAGCTGGAAAACCACCGGTGGGGACACTGGGGAGGGACTGCAGGGCCTTCAGGCAGGTTATGAACTCCTCCCGTGTCCATGACACACGGAGCTTCCTGGAGGGTGTTTTTAGGTTGCTGTGGGTGAGGCCAGTTCCAGTTCTGCACTTGGTGTTAGGATGACAGTGTTTCTAGAATTCAAGCCCAGTAAATACAGGCTGTAACCAAGTATCGATGAACGGTGTTCCTGCTTTTGTGTGGGATTAGTTCTTACCATGTCAGGTTCAAGTTTTTTTCTCCTCTTTTAGATTTTCTTGGGACTATGAGAACGGTGTTCCAAATCATCCTACCTCGTGCTTTGAAATGCAAGGGTGGTCCTATAGCTGAGTTTTGGAAGTGTTAAATGCTAGCCCTTCCCTGAAGCCTGCAACAGCAAGAGGAGCAGGATCAGGCCCTGAGAACTTTCTTAGAGGATCACTGAATCTGAATAAAACACGTAATTTAAAATGAAATATTTCTTATTTAAAAAAAAAAAAAAATCCTCTGCAAGCATTCTCCCCACTGCTGCTGCACTGCTGGCCACGTCTGACTTGATCAGATGCTGTTTGGTTTTTTTGCCTTTTTTTTTTTTTCCCCTCCCAATTGCTGTTTGTGGTAGATTTCAAATCGTTCCCTCTGCCCCATAGTTTCAGGCCTTCCGGTGCTCGGCGGCAGCACACGTCGTGCGCCGATACGTGATGATGCTGCCTTGAAAAAAAAAAACCATAATAAATCTCTTACAGTGGCTTAGAGTTGGCTTTTCTAAAGGACTCAAAGCCAGGGCAGCCTTCCCAGCGCGGGGTTTGGGAACAGCCCCTTTGGATGCCGGAGGGCGGCCGAAGGAGGGAGGAAGAGGGAGAGATGTTTGCAGCCAGGCCGTGCCGTGGTTCCTGGGCTCCCTGCAGCCACTCCTCGGGCTTTATTGCTTTCACAAGTGGTCTCAAACCCACTACTTGAGAATAAACATCCCTGCGAGCTCGGCCGTGGCACTTTATAAATTCTCCTTTGCCGCGTTTTGTCACTGAGCTGATGAGTGACCCCGGCGCAGACCCCGCCGGACCGGAATAAAAACCGTGGCTCCTCTGATGTCCCCCAGACAATAATTATCATGTGCCAGTTAAGCCCAAACTACAGCTGAGGGATTTTACTTTAAAGCGGAGGCTCGGGCGCAAAAATGCATTTATAGCTCTTTGTCTGGCACCTCATTATGTGTGGGCCTGATTCATTAAGTAATTGGTTTGCAGTTGTTTACATGAGTATTAAGGCTTTCTATTCAGCAGCCTTTGAGATACACATTGTGCAAATGTTGCATGTTATGAATGCGGAATGAGGGGCCGGGGCCCGGCCCTATTGGCTAAACACTGCACGCTGTTGAAAAGCAAGAGAAAGACATTGGGTGCTGCTTTGCATAGCAATGACTTTCTTAATAAGCTTTACAGATTGATACACACAAGCTATAAAAGATGCAAAGAGATACTCTTAGCACATTTATCCATGCTCGTTTCACTATTATGGGCCTGGAGAAGGGAAGAATTGAGGGCTTTCATACTCGGGTTTTCAGTGCGTGTCTTCAGTGCATGAGACTTAATAGAATCCGATGTTTATTGTATTATAAATCATGGGGAAGTAGGCAGATCTGCAACAGTTTATTATTAAAGATTCTTTCAATGTAAATCTTTTTCTGCCATTGTATTTCCTACAGCAAAATCATTTTGTGGTTGAGTGGGGATGAAAGGCATAATGTACGACGGAGTGAGTCTTAATAGGAAACTGCTCTCCGAGTAAAGACCACTTGTTCCCTTTTGTTCGGCGGTGCATGCCAGAGCTTCCTCTCCTCCCGCAAACGCCGCCGGCTCTACCTCCGTGGCGAGGGAGCCGCTCGTCCCTGGCCTCCTCTGCTTTGCCGGGGGATGTTTCCCCGCACGCAGACCCTGCACCTTTGGTTGGCAGGGTTGGCGCGTTGCGGCGGGCGAGAGGCGTCAAACCCCGCGGTCCTTGGGGGGAGAAGGTATCAGGAGTCAGGGGCTGAGCCGTGGCCGAGCGCAGGCGGGCGGCCGGCGATGTGTGTGGCATTCCTGGGCGGCTGTAGCGATGGATGCGGCCAGTGGAGGTCACTCGTTTTCTGGGAATTCCCCGTTTCGGATGCGAGCGGTTTTTTATTTTTCCTTTGACTCGTTCGGGCTGTCTCGTTTCGAAATAATCTGGAGATTAAAGATGCGTTATCAGCCGAGAACCAAAGCGGGGTTCGGATTTGTCGGGACACCAACACGGTGTAAAGTGTTGTAAACTTTGATTAATCTGCTCAAGGACTCCGGGGGGGTCTCTGAAGGCAGTTTTTCAGCCGAAAGGAGCCGTTTTACCCAACACAGATGTAGTGACGTGCAAAAAGAAGTTGGCAGAGTCTAATTCATCTCTTAATTACTCTCTGGGTGATGTTTAACGTGGCCCCGTTGGCTTTGGCCATCGGGGGGCACTCGGGCTCTGTGCATCCCCCGCCTCCCCCCTGCCCAAACCAATCCTGACCCCAATCCAAACCAATCCCCCCTGCCCAAACCAATCTCTGCTTGTCTCCGAGGAGAGTTCCCAGAGGTTTGGGGCTGGGAGAGCTCAGGAGATGCACAGATGCATTTCTCCTGGAAATACAGAGAAAGTGGCACTGTGTGGGTCTGGATTCCTGAGAGGGGCACCCAGAATCCAGCCAGGATCTGATTGTTTCATCCCCCCGACGTACTCTGTTGTCAGATGGCTTCCGTAAGAAGCTGGCTGAGAATTCCAGCCCGATTTTCCCCTGTCACAGCTGTTTCTGTGAGCTTTGTTTCCTCCCCCTGAGCCCCCAGCTGTGGCAGAGGCAGCGATGTTGTGGTGGCGATGCCCTGCCAGGTTTGTGGGGAGAGGCACCAACATCTGCCCGCTGAGGACAGAAGGAATAGTGAATTTTTTGGCAGTGCCCCTGCTCTCCTGCACAGCTCCCTCACAGCGCTGTGATGTGTCTTTGTGTTAGTGGGGTTTTCTGTTTCAGCCTGGTGGATCTAAACAGAGAATGGTCTCAGACACAGCTTGATAGAAATCTCTGTATCCTAAAATAAAGGTCATGCTGCTTACAGTGTAATTACTGAAATTCAATGTTATTACTCCAATTCCAGTGTGATGAATGGACTTTTGAGTCTATACTGACTCTGTAAATGTGTGTAGTAGATGGACTGTATATATTTGGCTTTCCAGGGTGGGGAAATCTCTTGGCTTTTGGGATTTCCCAAATTTCTTTGGTGTCTTTTTCACTCGACACTTAAAAATAGAGGTTCAACAGGTGCTTTAGCAAAAAGGTAATCTGGTCAAAGTAAAAAATTTTCTTCTGTTTTCCAGCAATCCCCCTCAATTAACGTGCCTCTTGTTGTCCTGGAATTTTCCTCTTAATATTAATTTTCCGTATGGAGGAAAAAAAAAATATTTTCTTGGAGCTTTTTAATTTCTTACTGTTGCAGCATCTTCAATACAAAAAAAAAAAAAGCCTGTTTCATCAGAGAAATGGAGAGATTAAAAGGCCCTTTGAAGTGAAACTGGTTTGGGTTTTTTTCTTTGTTAGGGCCTGGGTTGAGTTTGGAATTATTTTAGGGGAGAAGCAAAAGTGTAAATGGCTCTGGGAGGGTCAGGCCGGGGGATTAGTCGGGGTGGTGGAAGGGGCCTTGCTGCGTTTGCACCCCGGACGTTCCCGGCGGGCTCTGTGGTCATTGTGTGCTCCCTGCTCGCTGCAGCTGCATCTCACCGGCTTCACCCGCTGCTCCAGCCCTAATTCCAGGATTTATTCCCTGTTCCCCAGCCCCTGGCAGCGTTTTCCAGGCTCAGTTTGGGGGAGCTGCCATTTCCCGCCTGGCCTCTCCGACGTCCTCGCTCCGTTTGCCGTATCCCCGCGGCATTTTCCTGTGCCCACGGCTCCTTGCTGGCTCCCTGCTCCCTGTGTCCCTCTCTGGGCATGGCTGTGTCGTGCCAGCGCCCGGCTCTGGGCTGTCTGGGGAGTGAACCCCATTCCACGTGTGGTGGATCAGCCCTGGGAGGATGAACCCCAGTGAAGGGATGGTGTTGGGTAGGACACAAACACCTGTCTGCCCCTTCCCCTGTCTTTCTCTTTGTGGGAAGCTGGCTTGGCAGTGGGAAGGTCTCCAGACCTTCCTACAGCCACGGTGGTCCTTCTCCATGAGACCACCAGCCTTTGGCTGTGCCTGGAGGACCAAATCCTGCAGCTCTGGGTGGTCCTGCACTGGTGGTCCCTGGTGGTCCTTGGCAGGGTGTCGGTGTTGGGCCCCAGTCACTGACCCACCGGCGTTTGCTCTAGGATTGAAGCATGGAGAGAAGTGGGACAAAAAGTCCCTCCTGGGGAACCCCCTGGCATGGCTGAATAACAGAACCCCCTGCTCCCTTCCCAGCAGTGTGGCCAGAGGGGAAGCAGTGGCTGCTGCTGCTGCCTGAGCTCCTGCTCAGCCACTGGGACCTGAAATGGTTCCCATGCCAGCTGCCCCAGGAGGCACCTTGCCAGCTGGAGCTCTCCAACGAGTGGCTTTTTGCTCCACACCCAGGGGAGAACAGCACAGCACATGGAGCACCTCCTGGGGAATGCTGAGGGTCAGGAGATCTCACCCAAGGGAGCAAGAGTTTGAGGTGTTCAGTGTATTCCAGAGGCTCCGGCTTCAAATGCTCGCTGGGAATTCTGTTGAGGGAACGTCTTTGAAGGAGAAGCTGGGCTGTGAGGCAGTGTGGGGTTTGGCTTGGAATAAAAGGGAAAGGCACTGGGATGGTGCACTCAAGGAACGTTGGAGAAACATTTAGAGCCCAACATTTTATAGTTTCTTACTGAATACATTAATAATTAGCGGTATCACTGTGAGTACTTCACTGGTGCTGTCACTTGGTTCCCATCTTGGTGGAACCTGGGCTGGGTTTAATGTTCTGGGAATTTCTGTCCACAGAGAGGGAGCCTGTGTGCCAATGGCATTCACAGCCTGAGGAGAAGGAACGGGATTTGAACAGTGTGAGCTTTCTCTGGGTTAAAAGGAAGAGTGGCTGCACCCTGGTAGCTGCAATGTATGAAACTCTCTGCTTTACGTGTGGCTTTCCAGCTGCAATCCCAAATTCTGACTGCCAGGGAGCAACACGAGCAAGGAATCATCCCTGCTTTTTTTTTGTCTCCTTCACAGATGCCTCCACAATGTTGAAATGTTTTTAACTCCCCACTTTAAGGACTTCTGTATCGGCTGCCAGGTTTTTCCATCAACCACAGCAAATGGCAGGACATTTCAGAGAGCTGACTGAGTCCTGTTGTGGCCGTGGCCACAGCTTCCAGCTGCACCTTGACATTGGCTTATATTTCACTGCTTGGCCCAGTGATGGCCCAAATATCTCCTATTTGATCTTCCTTATTAAAATCAGCTGCAGGTTTATTTTTAGGGCTTCTTGCAGGGCCGTTGCTGTAACAGTTAATTCTCCCCCATCGTTGCCCCCCGTGTGATTATTCCCCAGCCCCAACACAATGCACGCGCTGCACACAAAAGATCAAAATGATTCCAGCTTGTTTGAGAGATTCAAAAGGGCCTGTGATGCTCCAGACACAAGAGCAGCCATTTACCAGAGCAGGCTCGGGCTGCACACACATCAAGGTAGATCAAAGGCAGCGGAGATTGCACATTTCCATGGGGCCGGGGGACAGCCGGGAATCGGGAATCGCGGGTCCGCAGGAGCATGCAGGGAGGAGAAGGGAAGGAAGGAAGCGCAGGAGCAGCACTGGGGTGCTTTCATTTTCGTTTGGATTTTGTCTTTACGTACTCTGTGTGCTCTGGAAGGCTGCAAAAGCTCGACAGGGCCCTGCTCCTTTGTACCTGGATTCAGTGCTGGTGTAGATCAGTGCCGTTACCTGGGAATGAGTCCAGGAACAACTGCACCAGTGTTCCTGCTGCATGTGGATTCCTCCACCTTTTAGGTGAAGAAACCCTCGATAAAATAGTTATTAAAAAAAAAAAAAAGTAGTTACAAAAGTTACTGATATTTTTTTAAAACGATCTCACAGTATTTTTTAAAAAGTCACTTTTAATCTGTGACATTGTGCTGATTATTTGAAATCTTTTACAGGACGGAGACGCGGAAGGAGAAAGTAACTGCCATAAAATCCAAAGGTAAGAGACAAGTGTTACACTACTGAAAATCAGTGTCTTGTGTAATTTATACTGGAAGAGCCCTCCCACAACTACGTTACGACCTGTATAAAGTATGGAGACAGGAAAGTGTGGAATTGCCCTGTCTCAACACAGGAGCCAGCAGGAAGCTGAGGAGAACAAATTCTAGGACAGAGAGGAGGTGTTTGTGGTGCAGGTGGTGTGGAAGGAGTCAAGATCTTTGCAGGGTTTAGTCAAATGACTGTGAGCTGCAAGTGGAGCAAACCCAGAGAAGGAAAAGCCTGAGGTTTCCTTGGTTTTCCCACAGCAGGGCCACAGCAGGACATGGGTGCAGCTGGATGGTTTTGTCCATTGCCAGGCTGGTTTTGTTCTGAGTTGGTGTGTGGACCCTGCACGTTTTCGCTCCCCAACATTCCAGTTCTCCCTTTTGCCCACCCCAAGTCCCTCAGGGGCCTGCAGACACCTCTAGCTGAGCCTCCTGCCAGCGAGGCAGCGCGGGGAGCCCTTTGCCTGGAGCCCCACTCCAGGTGCTTGGCAGCTGGAATGGCACAGTCCTAGAGGCGTGGCACTGAGCCGAGGTACGGATGCCATCAGCAGTGGCTGCTTTGGTGCCACTTGAAAGGCTCTCACATCCCCAGCCCCTTTCCTGGAGCCGTTCTGTGCGTGCGGGAGCGAGTGCGGGGCTCGCTCTGATGTTCCCGGCGGAGCACAGCCCTGCGGCCCAGGGGGCCGGGATGGAGGATGAAAGATGCAGCTGCTGCATTTGTAGATAAGGTGTTTGTGGAGCTGGTGCCGTCAGAGGCCTTAGCAGGGCCTCAGACACAAGCTGCAGTGTGTGTGTGAGCGTGACAGCCTTCCTCCCTCTGCCGCCTCATTCCAGGCGTTGCGGCTCCCGCACTGCCTTTGGAGAGCCAGCAGCCTCTGGAATGGTTGGGAACAGAGAGCACAGCCCTGTCAGCCGCTGCAGCCTTGACTTCAGGTGCCACACTTCCCACTCTGTTTTATCCCCGGGTCAAATGAATTTACATATTGAGAAATCTCTCGGGCACTCTGAATTGCAGGGGGGTTTCTGTTGATGTCAGGGAAAGGGTTTGCCAGTTCCCAGAGCTGTCAGTTAAAGCCATGTCTTCTGTGGAGATCCGGCCTGCCCGGGTCTGATCTGATCTCCAAGTGGTGATTTTTCGCTTGTGACGTCACTGCCATGTTTGTGCCAACTCTGCGATGTCATGGCCCGCTGGTGACTTCACCGCGGGGTCAAGTAGCAGCGGGAGAAAGGGGAAGAGAATAGACAAAGCTGCAATTCAGGCAGCAGCTGGTCAAGTAAATTGGTTGGAGTGGAAATGTTCTGCCCAGCTACCTTGAGGCACAATGGAGTGGGAGTGCTGAATGAAGCCGCTGTCCGGGCACAGCCGCTCTGCCCCGGGCACCGTGCGGGGCCGGACACACAACCTGGGCTGGGGGCTTCAGACTGCTCCTCCTCCATCAGCCACAGGGCCTGTGACAGAGGGCACCCCCGTGGAAAGGGTTTTACTACTGTGGTTTCTGTGTCCTCCCCCGCAGCGTTCTGGGGCGAATCGGACGACAGCAGCTCTGAGCTCGAGGCCGCCCTGCGCCCGCAGACCCACAGCGCCCAGTCAGACGACTTCGATGACTTCTATGCTTGAGATTCCCTGCTGGCTTCTGGGGAGCAGCAGAAGCATTGTTTCAGAGCCCACTCACACTCACAGTGAGTGTGCTGTGGGCTGAAGCGCTGCTCGTCACTTTACGGGCAAAGGAAATGTAAATACAAAATAAACATGATAGGTCCTACACGCTGTACATGTGCTCTGTCTGACCTGCTCTGACAGTAACCCTGCCCCCTGAGAACCCCCTCCTGAGGCTTGTCTGCACTCCACTGTTTGGACTCCAGAGCTAGACGTGGTTTGGAAAGCAGCAGACGAGCATTGTGGGTGCGCAGACAGGCACTGCCGGGGCGGGCTGGCTTGTTTGATCTTTATCTTCTTCTGCGACAGATCAAGAAGAAGAAATGCATAAAATGTCCATTTGTAATTCAGCACATTTTGGAATAGAGCAGCGTTTACGTGTGTAGAGCCCCAGTGCTTTCCTGCTTTTCCCTGCTTTGTGAAATCTGTGCTGGTGCTGCTGTGTGGACATCACAGTAATTGGATGACTCTAGGAGCTTCATGCATTTTTAATTTCCTTCTTTTCATTCCTTTTATCTAAAATTAAGTTCATTAAACATGAGATTTTCTTTCGAAAGGAAGAAACCAGGGGACATATTAAAAAAAAAGCTGTTCATCATGATGACAAGTTCAAAAGCAGAAACCAGCACCCCAATTAAACTGTGCTGTGCTGCAGCCCCACGTCTGCCACAGCCACCAATCTCCACACCCTGTCCCTCAAAAACAACTTAAAAATGGTACATTTAATTTAATAAAAACACTTGGGCTGAGAGCTCAACAGTTTGAAATAATGGCTCACAGAAAGCTTGGAAGTGAGCAGAAACCCTTGGTACAGCTGGCTGCTGTGGGTTACAGTCCAGCATTGGTGAGGGGGCAGCCTGGAATGTTCTGGGATTTGGGAAATCAGCTGCACCAAGGATGGAGCCAGGTGAGTCCAGATGAGGTTTTTCCTTGTGCGCTGCAGCAGCATCGCCTGGGAGAGCTGAATCATGTCTGAACCCAGCATGTGAGGGCTGGCGTGTCATCACTCCTCACTGCCTTTTCCTTATCATCCCTAATTCCTGGTAACTCACTCTGGATGGTCCTACCCATCTGCAAATGTAAGCTCCCCAGTATCCCAGCACAGACTGGCTGTGGGTACGGGATGGCTCAGGCAATGTCAGCCCAAGGTTCAGCTGGAAAAGTCTCTCCAGCAGCCCGTGCTGCCGCGTGACATTGCCTCGGATCTGCGGCGTCTGTGCAGCTTTAAGCTCTTCCCGAGCGATTCCCGGCTGTTGATGTCAGCCCGCTGTATATCTGCTGGCATGACACCAGCCTGTGGGGTTTCCATCCCTCAGTCCGGCTCAGCCCCCGCCGTGTGGCCCATGACAGGTGACGGATGGCTGCGGGAGCCGAGCACGGGCAATCTCTGCCTCTCGGTGTCGGAGCGATAGCCGAGTTCCTCCGCAGCAGCAGCAGCATTTGTGATGCTCTTATTGTGCACAGGCTCATTAGATGCAAAACATCCTGCCAGTCAACTTTGCTCCGCTCCTTCACAGCTGTCACGCCGCAGCCAGGGACGATGGCAGGTGACGCTGACGGATGAAGGGAATGGAATCAATACAGCCCGGGCAGATTTCCATCGGCACGCCACTCATCCCTGGAAAATACCCTAATGGGAAGCCTTCCCTGCTCCTGTTCGCGGTGACACGGCGCTCCGTGCGCTTCTCATGGACACACAGTTCGGAGGTGGGGCCCGGGCTAGTGCCCTGGCGTGGCTGCTGATGCTGAGACCAACTTTTCAAGGAGTTGTTTGTTGCAGCATTAATTATTCCAGCACTTGTTTACCCAAGTAATTATGAGATAAGACGATCGCGTTTCATTTGCGTCCCGCCAGCCTTCTGTTTTTCTTTGGCATTATCAGAAAAACAACTGATTGCCCATCAATACAAACCAAATGTTAATGCTAAGCTGCCATACTCCGCACGAAATTCCAGGACGAGAAGCACTACAATAGGAAGCTTCAATCAGGGAACTGTTTTGTAAGGAACAGATAAAGGACAATCTTTAGCTGATACCACAGGTGTGGTGCCACTACAAAGTTGCTGGGGAAATTTATTCAAGTCACAGATTTTATTGAGAGGAACGACAACAGAAAACGGCTTAACAACAGCCAAGTGAGGATAAGAATAATGAGAGACACAATATTGGGTTAATTTGTTCTACAGAGAATTAGCCCAGTACCAAGGTTCCCCTCCGCTCCCCAAATTGGCGGCATTGACTCAACAAGCACTGCTGAGATTTTGTTATTTTTGTTAATGATTCCCGGGCTGCTTTTCCCTGTCCTCGCCCCTGTCCCTGCCCTCCTGACAGAGCTGCTGTGCGGCAGCGGGACACGGCGGAGCGCCAAATCTGCCTCGTGTTAATCCCGTTTAATACCCGAATGTTTAATTCCATTTCGGCGCCGTCAAACAGCCACAAATTAATAGTATTTGCTTATGCCACGGGCAGAGCGAGGGGATGGGGGCTCTTTGCCTCGTGCCGCTGTCGTGGATCACATGGAGCCATTTCACACCGGCTGCGTCTGGAAACGTCCCCTTCTGAGGGGACAGAGCGGCCGTGCCCTGAATCGATTTTGGTGTTGCAAAATGTGGAGTATGTCAAGATTATCTTAAGTCAGGATGTTCTCTGTTGTTTGATCTTTGTATACTTTCGAGCCTCATCAGCAAGAAAGGAGACCTGGTCAGTGGGACAGGCAGCAGCTGCATCCCTCAGTGAGGGCATCCAGGAACTAACAAGTTTTAGGGATACAGTAAATCAAGATGTTAACGTCTGTCTATGTATGCATTATTAACTTGGCGAAATACTCAAGGTCTGCGTGTCCTACAGCTGAACTATGTTCACTGTAATACTAAAAATCACGCCTACAGGTCGAAAAAGACCCTGCGCAGGTGAAAAGGACGCAGGGAAGTTGATGTGACTCGCGTAACTTGCATGAAAATTACTGATCAATCCTAGTAGAGGGGCTGTGCTTGGGAAGTTACTAACTCCGGCTTTTTGCGTGTAAATAACGGCACATTTGTGGAATACACCGAGCACTCGGGGTTGGGCAGCGCTGAAATAAATCACCAATGTCTCTGCCATGTGTCGTTTACTGGCTCGTTGGGCACCCCTGCCGTGTGCTGCTGCCGCCCGAACCGCCCCACGGCGGCAGCCCGCGCTTGGCTTTTATTAGCACGGGTCTAACGGAGGGTGTTTTTCCTGACAAACTGCCTGTTCAGGGCTGTGGGGCAGCGGTTCCCCCCC